CGCATTATTTTTATGTCCAAGAATGTCACTGAGTTTCACCTAAGTCCCATGTATATTCTTGGAAAACTTTTTATGCTTCCTCTATAGTTTTTGTTGTTTGTTACTGTAATGTAGTGAAGACACTACTCAACATTCCTTACATACCTCATACAGATTCCAATCTACAGCCTAATAGTAGCAATCACATATTGTGATGCTTACAATATCCAACACTCGCAGCAGCTCATATAAGTTATAAAGATAAATCACTTCTCTTCAGGATCCTCAGTGGAATACAATCCATGCATGACATTAGATCCATTCCAGAATGACGTTTAGATCACACTCTCACATGCAAAATCCAGCTGTGATGAGTGGCACCCAAAACCTCCAAAGGGTTTTCCCTGGAGGAAGCAGATGCAGCCACTGGCCAGCCTCCACCCTTGGAGCTACAATCTGCAGCACTTTCCCTGAAAGATAACCCCGGAAACAGCTTCTCCGCCTCTACCAGCAAGTTTTCCAGGTCAGCTCTGATTGCTCCCAACGAGGGAACCTACAATGTTGCCCTGCCCCCGAGTCCTGGTAACTACTCTGTAATCTCAGCAAGCATGTCAGTGTACTCTGTTTTTAATACAGTTTTTAGCCAAAATTCTTTGTATTTCTTCCCAATTACCCTGATGTTCTCAATTCAGTTTTGGATATCTGCATATCGATTTCCTTTGTGCTGGTTAATGACCGCCATAAAGTTTTTCCCACTCTGACCCCAGTGACTTCCCTACGTCTCCATGCCGGCTTCTGTTCAGGAGCCCAAGGAGCAGAAACTGCGTGGAAGGGATGCGTCCTCCCCCCGAGGCTGGCAGCTTGCGCTCATCTTCCTGCAGCAGGGCCCCGACTGGAGCTTCCTCTCGAGTCAAGACACCCAGGTTCGCGTCGCGGGTCTGCCCACGCTTGCGCTGTACCTGGCTGCCTCCTCCCCGCCCGCAACGCCGCGCCGGAGGAGAAAAAGAGCGGGGCTACCTGGAGTCGAATTTCTTGCCGTCGGAGAAAGTGCCGTGGTAATGGTAGCGCACGAAGTCGCCGGAGAGAACGGTGCGCGGGCACTTGTCCGGCACGTACTTGCGCTCGATCAGCACGTCCTTTCCGTCCCAGTGGCTCTCCCCGGACGGCACCGGCGGAGCCTGGCATGCCACGCAGCTAACTAGCAAGGC